AAAAAAAAAAAAAAAAAAAAATCTGGGATTTCTATCCACAAAGATTCTACGGTACCTCTCTTATCCAGTGAAATTACCCAAATAATTTTTTGTTTGCTGTTGAGACCAACTGTAAGGCACCTGCAGACATTAAAGTAAAGGTGTTCATGGGATCTGATGTGGGATCCCTACAGTTGCACTTCCTGCCACACCAGATATGGGGATCAGGATCCACCTGTACCAGCAAGTAGCAAGCTTGGCTCCCTGTGTTCCTGTGGCTGGGTGCTCTGATCAGCTGAAGGGATTCCCTCCCTGTGGGCCACTCCCAGCCTCCTCTGGAGCACACTTGGCAGTTGAAGGTATGATAGGAACCAGCCACAAAGTTATTGTACAGATTTTGAATAGTAACTTTGGAGTTTGTCCCTCATTTTAGCTCACCATTAATTGATTCACTGTGTGGTCAGGTCACTAAAGATGAGGGTGCATTTGATTTAAAAGACGTGATTAACCAGCTAATTGCATCTTAAATGTAATGTCTGTCTGGGACCTAATATCAGTAACTTGAAACTTCATTTGTTTCCTTAAGCGAGGGAGCCATTAAAGATCTTAAGGCAAACCTTGGATTGTTTCTTTTTGTACTGAGCTGACATCTATAGTTAGTTCCCACAACTGTGCTGGGAGCAGGAGTGGATTCCAGGTTATGTCTAGCATACCAGTTTTTCAAATTCATATTATGTGTTAAACCTGTAAGGTAATACTGTTTTGCTTTGTATCTATGTATTGCTCAGCTTTAAACTTGTATTGTACTCTTTTTTGTAACTAAATATTTTGATAGCAGCCATTCTGATCTAGTCTAGTTTAATCTTTCATCTTAAGATAAGAGCAAAGGTAGATGTTACATGCTTGCTCTTTTTGGTTGGTTGGTATCTGAGAACTGTCATGAGTTGGAAGAATAGTAACTTGTATTATTGCATGTTTAGCTATAAAGACATTTGTTATTAAGGTAGTGTGATCTAGTAGTACTTGAATAATATGATTTTGACTCCAGATCTTCATGATGCACACAAATGTCAATCTCCTTGTTTTGTGTCCTCCTAGATTGGAAGCTGGTTGGTGTGGGGGTTCTGTTTCTGTGCAGTGACAAAAAAAGTTATTGTAGCCAGACATGTATCTAAATCTAAACTCCTCAACTAAAATTCTGTTTTCCAGGCAATTGAAAAATTGCAGGCTGGTGCTCTTGCAACTGACGCAGTGACTGCAGCACTAATTGAACTAGAGGTATTTACTTTTATTCCAGAATTAACATGTTCATTTGGTTTATTGCCGTAACTCAGGACTGTTAGGCTCTTCATTTAAACAGGTAGTTTACAGACAGTACTCAAGCACAGGGGTAGGCAACATTTTTTGGCTGGAGTGCCGAAAACCCCCACAATGCCTACCTTGGAAGGTGCCAGAGTCGTGGCATGCCAGAAAAACAAAATGAGGTTAGGGAATACATGGCAAGATGCCCAGCCCTGCTGCCCCGTACCCCCCAGCCTGGGCTCTGTGGCGGTCAGCAGCTACCCAGAGCCAGGGCTGGCTGCAGCCGGGAGGCTACAAACAGCTGTTGCCCTCCTGCCCTGGCCCTGGCCCCAGCTGTCTTCCAGTCCCAGGGCTGGGGCTGGGGAGGCAGCAGCTGTTTATAGCCTCCCCAGTTGCCAAAGTCAGTTGTCCTTGACTTTTTTTACACTCAAGGCATCCCTTGGAAAATACCAGGTCTTAGTTTTTAGTCATTTTCTGACAGTGGAAAAAGTATAGGGCAGTTTTGCTGTTGCAAAGAATTTGGACCACAACAGGCCCAGATGATTTTTTTTAATACTATGGTTTCCTGTTTGAAATCTCTGGGTTTGTCTTGTGAATCATGTTTACACACCTAATAGTGCTTACATTACGTGGAGCCCCACGGCACCCTTTATCTCAGGGCACCCCAGCATGCTGTGACACCCTGGTTGAGTCATTGGTTTTAAATGGCATTTTTACCTGTGCACACATGCAAATTTGTACTCTTTCATACTATCTAATGAAGTAGACCATTGCCTGCAAAAGCCATCCTGTATATGGTGCCACCCTGTGCTTCCTTCAGATCTGTAATCTGTGTTTGAGTTTCATCTCATTTGCTGTAAATGTATTTGTTAGAATTTATCGTACTTTGTTTTATTGTGTTAACATGTTCTAATACTTCTTACTCTAATTGAGAGAGCTCCATATTGGGAGTGAAACTCAAGCTCACTTTTAATAAACCAGTTTTCTGCCAATGGAAAAATTTTGTCAAAATAGATTAGCTATTTTTTATATACTAGATTCATTTAATGTGTCTGGTCTGCTGGAATAAACTGTGAAGACATTGGAGAGATGCTTGTATCACATTGCAGAACTACCTGAAAACTATACAGTATAACCTCGTGAATCCGGCATGCTCAGGACTGAGCACCTGCCAGATATCTGAAAATG